AAAATCCACAATGAAATACAAAAAATATTGAAATGCTCTTTTAAAAAGACACCAGAAATTCTGCTTTTGGGACTTAAAATGGAAGAAGTTAATGTAACAAAAAGACTCTACTCTGGTACTTAATAACAACAGCAAGAATGATTTATGCACAATATTGGAAAATAGACAAAGTACCAGAGATAGAAGACTGGATACAAAAAGTTCTGTTCATGGCAGAGATGGATAAAATCACAAGAAAATTAAACAACAGAGAAGATGAAGAGTTTTTGGAAGAATGGAAGGATTTTAAAACATATTTGGAAAAGAACTGGGATGTGAAGCAAAGTTTACTGTATTTAGAACAATACTAAACCAACTGATTGTTATCTAAAGATTTTAATGTTAAGAAAAATGAGAATATTTAATGTTATACTGAAAAAAGAGACAAAAAGGGGAAAGCATTGTGGGAAGCCGAGGAGGGGGGGAGGTATTGGGAATAGGGTGAATGAAATGTAATGGAAACTATTAAGTGTGTTAGCTATATGAATTCTCAATGAATGAAAAATAAAAAAAAATGTTAACCAAAAAAAACAACAACAACAACACTCTGTTGGGTCTAAAGCCCCAAAGCTTGCTAGTGATGTCTATACATATGCAGATACTGCAAAAAAAACAACAACATAGCAACCAAAGCACCACACAAACATCAGCAGAGTTGGAGCTAGTGGCTCAGATTAAGATTCACTGGCAGTTGCATCAAGCAGAGTGCACAGGGGGCAGAGGGGCAAGTCCACAGTGGTGGAGGGGTAGAAGCTGAAGCCAGAAGTAAGCAGATGAGGTGAGATTTATTCTCCCCATGCATCACCATGGGTCACCCACACATGCTTTTGGTATAGAATTGTCTTAAAGAATTAATTAATTAATTTATTATATACTGTCTTTATCATTGACTTCTCTGTCACCACCAGCGTCTGGACTGAATGCTAAAGGAGTTCAACATCACACTGCCAACTATCAGTTTTGTAAATGGGTTAACAATGACTTCTAAAACCACATATTAAATAGACGTTTACTGACTGGACACAATTCACTTGAACTATTGTAATGCACATTTAGCAAGCACAGAAAAAGCAGAGAACAAGAGCTGCCAATACGGCAATGGTACCGTTTGGAGGCTATGCCGAGCCCGTACCGTTCCTTGCTGGTAGAAGTGAGGGGCCAATTCCAATAGCCAAGCTGATTCAATAGCTGTCACATCTCGCATGTAATACTTAGAGGTCTGGATAACTTCATTGTAGACGACCCTAAAAAAAAAAGAGTTAGAGGAAACCATCAACTAGCAAAGAGCACCCTACTTATTTCACCTGAGAAGTGGGTCATTATATAGATACTGAGCCTAAATTATATAACCACTATCTACACCTGTAGAATGATGGAATATGTGCATGTTTCCACTTGGTGCAGAGGGGATCAGAACATTCAAAGGTCATGAGAAGGTCATTTTTCTCTTCTGCATACTTAATTGTATTACCGTACTAGATCAGCAGTATCCTCTGTAAGATTGAGAAAGGTAGAGTAAGAGTCTGAAGAAAATCCAGTCATATCCCCCCTCCCCTCCCCTCCCCATGGAAGAATTTCCCTGTCCATATTGCTCATTATATTCTCAGGGCATCACTTTTGAGATGGTTTTAAGAATTTGACAGTGGGCTCTGAGTATAAGTTTCAAGGGTTGCTAGAGAGTCTGGAAAGAAAGCATAGCATTTATAGTCCTACCTCCTTTCCTGTACTGTCGTATCATCCTCCTGGAGGCCAATACAAAGACAGAACCAGCAACCAAAAGACTAATAAAACCACCATCAACATTCAAAGGCAACAGCACTGATTATTCCTCCTTCAATCATTCCTCAAAAATGCATGATGCAGATGGCCATGAAAACAAATATTATATGAAATATGCCCTTAGATTGCATAGGACCAAAAAAAGATACTTCTCATGCAACCTGAAGGACCCACTAAGCCCTCTGACTTAAGTGGACTATGCTTAGGAATGCACTGCTATTTTTCCAGCTCTATACTACTACTTCCAAAATGCTGTGTTCTAACTAGTTGGGGCTTCTTAAAATCTTTTCTGATGTAGTTGCAGCACCAAATGAAGGGAATAGCATGCATTCTAAAACCACAATCTTCCATAAAAAGTTACGACTCTGAATGATGGTCAGAGTCAAACCCAATTAAAACTCTTTAAACATACCAACGAGGTGGTTTCTCTGCATACAATACTGAGGTGGGGTGGATATGCAGTTCGTGGTCATCACGAATAGTCCTAGAAAGAGGAGTGTTATTTCAGACAATGTTTGTTTATAACTATTTAAAGAAGAAGAAAACCCACAAACAATTAATGCAGATAAGAGTAGGGCATATAAGTACTACACTAGTTAGCTATAGGTATCAAATTCAAACTCTGGCAAGGATTTCCAGCACACACGAGTTAGGAGTTTCTGCCTATATCACAAGAGCAGGAATTGTAGAGACTTCACCACATAAGCTCTGCATCTTCTCTCTCTACATTCAATTGTCTATAAAGGTACCAAATTTACCTTTGTCTTATTATGGATCCTAAAGCTTACTTCTACTTGCACTCAATTTCCACTTACATCCACCTATGCACTCCACATTGTTCTTCAGGGTCCACTGACCTCCCCCTCCCACAGGAATAGGATCTTTGTGAGGACAGAAGGGGGAGTGCTGGTTTGGATGTGGTGCTCAGGGTCCACCTATGACGGGCTGTCTCTATCAACTGAGATGACTCACAGAGCCTCGTATGATTTTGGGATAACTGGATTTTAAACTATAAACCTTCCCCTCGGTTACCAGGTGTTCTAAAGGCAGCGAGTGTCTAGGCTTTGGGTTCACTGCTGTGGTGCACAAGTAGTATATGGAGGTCACTGAGGCAGGAATTATACATTAGCCACAAAGAAGATCTTTTTATTTACAGACTGGTTTCCAGGAACAGATCAGCAGCACAGGACTCCAGATAGACAAAAGAGAAACCTGGCTGAGGCACACTAATTTAGAGTAGTTTGAATTTTCTTTAATTCTTTCCAGCATAAACAGGCTTTTACCAATTAGTCACTAGGTTGGATCCTAACACACACACACAGGATTCCACCCACACCAGCCTGCCCTTTCCCAAGAGTCATACTAAATGGCGCAAGGTCTGCTCACTGCCAGAGACAGGCCAAACAACTGGGTACTCTATGCGCTGTCAGAAGTAGAGCCAAACCACTGTGTCACTCTCCCAAACAGAGCTACCCTTTCCTCAGTCTGCTCTCTTCCTGAGCCAGTCCTGAGTTCTCACTACCTTCTCCCTGAGGCAGAACTGAACTCAGCTCCTACTGTGTTTCCCTGTTTTCCTCTTCAGGAGCAGGACAGCCTTCTGTCCATCACACCATCCAGATTCAAATGCCAAGTTAGCCTTGAATAGACTTGGGGGAAGTCACAATCTATATATCTAATACCGAAGTTGCCCCCTGCGTGCGGATACTTATTTCTGCACATCGGGGGCACCTGGGGGGGATGGAGATTTTCGTACACACTTGGGGCAGTCCCCAGGTGTGCACAAAAATCTGAAAAGTTGGAAAAAATATCGGGGGGATACTTAAATACCCCAAAAGTGACAGAGCGTCCCCTGCCGCCGCCACCGCTTCGGAGCTGGGGGGGCCAGCGAGGCCCGGGCGGCTGCAAGCCGCCGGGCCTCGCTTCGAGGGGAGGAGAGACCAGCTCCCAGTTCGGAGCCGGGGGGGAGACCGGCGAGGTCCGGTGGCTACAAGCCGCAGTGCTGCTACCTCTCTGGTAGTTCTTAGCCACCCAAAGCCTTTGCCAGAGGTTGTTTGGAACCAGCTATGGCTTCAGAGGCCTAATAATCTGAAATGGCTTTCGGTATTTAAAACACTTCGGAGAATTTCTGTAGTGTAGCACTTACCCTGGTGGGGTTTTTTGCACAGCTTCCACAGGCTGTTTTGTTAGTCAACCAAAATTCCATCCTTGGTGCCAGAGGACCTGGCCCTAGACTCTTTTAAATAAGTAGCAAGGTTTTAAAAAAATGGCTTGGAAAAGGTCTCAATTCAGTACGGATTTATTTTCCCTGTTGTTATCATTGAACTGTGGATTCTGGAATTGTTTGCAGATCCCATTTCTTGCAGATTTATTCTCATACTCTTCCTTCTGAAATTTGTAAGAGCACATGAACACAAGAAGTTGCTTTATACGGAATCAGACCACTGGTCCATCAAAGTCAATAATGTCTACTCAGACTGGCATCAGCTCTCCAGGATCTCAGATTGAGGTCTTTCACATCACCTTTCACTTGATCCTTTTAATTGGACATGCCAAGGATTGAACCTGGGACCTTCTGCATGCCAAGCAGATGCTCTGCCACTGAACCACAGCCCCTCCCTAGCCTGCTTAAATTCAGATTAAGCCATGTCTAGCAAAGGCAGTAAATGGAAATGATCCTACATGGTTCCATCTTTTAAAAACGTGGTCTTAGACAGACGGTGTAATCCTAAACAGTGTTACACTTAAGCCAGTGGACTCCTGGAAAATGACTATTACCGGCTTCAAGTCCCATTCAACCTCAGTTATCCACCTGTTAGATGAAAATGCTATACTGACAGACCCCACAAAGCTGTTGTGTGACACCAAAGATCTCTTTTTCAAACCTGTATAAATTTATCAATTGATCAACCACCCTGTTGTTGTTGTCACTTATATCCCACCCTCCCCACTGAGGCGGGTTCAGGGCAGCTTACCACAATTCAAGGATACAATTAAATACAGTAAAATACAGTAAAACTTATCATAAACTTATAAATTACTTAAAATAACTATCATTTAAGACATAAATACATAAAATGCTGGAACGTACTCAAACAAGCGGAACACTTCTTATAACATAGGCCCCTGTCACACGGGCAGGAAACTGCAGAGGAGAAGTGTGGCTGTTTGCCCCGGGGCAAACTAACATGCAGTAAAGCGATCAGACCTACTGTGGAGGTTCTGTGGAGGTACTGTGGAGGTTCCATGGCAAGGGAGAGGTGCCGATCACAACACACACCTGCGCGCAATGAAGAAGCGCGCGGCGCGGCGAACTGGTTTTCTTTTTTTGTGTACACTACGAATGCGCATGCTCCGTTGGGTGCGTGTGCGCATCCACGGAGACGTGGGGGGAAAAAAACCCTTTTCCGCAAGGGGACATGGGCGGGCGCCGGATACCACCGGAAACGCGATCAGACGCCCGCCCTTGCCCCGCAGTTTCTGGAAACTAGTACCTCCAAGGTACTAGTTTTTTGCTGCGCTTTTTCGGCAGGAAGCCTCAGTTGTGCCACGGAAGCGCTACGCTTCCCAGATGTGCTGGTGAGATCGCGACCGGAAACTCCGCTTGTCTTCCGTATCTCTTGCGTGGCTAATGTTGCGTGTGACCGCAGCCCAAATATCTTAAACAAAAGTTTTGTCAAAAATACCCTAAAAATATGTATGTTATCTTGGAGAATAAAACATAAAAGGAAATCAACGTGTATAGGGTCTCTAAAATCAAAGAAGGACTGATTAAATACTCAGCGAAGGAAATAGTTAACATCTTTGCAAAATACTACAAAACTCTTTAAAGCACTAGAAATCCGCAACAAGATACAGTTAAAGAATATCTTAACTCCTTGCTAACCCTACCGAAGCTCAATAAGGAGTACTCAGATTTAATGGAACAGGAAATTTCTATAAAAGAAGTAACAGAAGCAATTAAAAACTTGAAAAATAATAAAGCTACTGGATAAGATGGAATACCTGCAGAATTTTACAAGTCTTTCAGTGCAACACTAGCAGAATACCTTGTAAATACGTGTAACAAGATCTTACAAAAAGGCATTATACTGTCTACTTGGTCTGATTCGGCGATTACAGTAATACACAAGGATGGAAAAGATCCAACCATTCCCTCATAGTACAGACCAATAGCACTGCTTAATCATGATAATAAATTTTTACGACAATCATCGCTAATAGATTAAAAACCTTTATCACAGAATATATCAAATCATATCAAATAGGTTTCATCCCAAACTGACAATTAACAGATAACATACAGAGAACCATCAACATAATTATTCACGAGAAATAGAATGGAAAGGACTCGATAATTCTAGCAATAAACTTTGCTAGATAATTCTAGCAACAAATTCGACCTTTGACTCAGTCGAAACAACTTACATGAGAGAACTATTTAAGAAGCTAGGATTCGGAGAAAACTTCTTATGAATGATACATGCTTTATGTATGAGAAATAAAGCCAAAGTATGGGTTAATGGTAATGATTTCCCATTCTTTCAACTAACAAGAGGGATGAGACAAGGGTGCCCATTGTCACACTTAATCTTCACAATCGCAATAGAACCGTTGCCCAAAGATCTCAGAACTTTCCATATGTAAATGTCCTTGGAACGCTGGCCGGGACTGCACAAAGCAGCCAATGAACCCAGCCAGTGTCTTCCGAGTGGCAGTTTTTTCGGCCTAACACTAAAGGGGCCAATTTTAGAATTCTGGCACCCAAAACTCTTTTATAATAAGGGAGAGATAGTTTTTTGGAGGGAGGGCGGGGTAAAAGTCTAATAAATAAATAAATAAATTATAAGCCCTAGTTGCAGATTAAACTAAGCAGATATTAAGACAAACAGAAGCCACCACAGCAAACAGAAGCCTACAAAAATGCATTTGATATAAACCAAACCGAGTATTTTTTTTTGGTATTTATTCAGCTGAATGAAGATTAGACAATCTGATTCAGCTACTGATATAGCTGGGCTGAATAAAAGCCGATATTATTCGGCTTTTATTCGGGCCAGCTATATTGCCAAGTCATGCCAGTCAGGCCAACTATTTTGCCAAGCTGTGCAGCAGCATAGCTTGGGAAAGGCATTCCCTTCACTCACGGAGGAATACCGCCACCACACTATGAGTCAGCGAGTGAAGATGCCTTCCCTTCACTCCCCCAAGTTCTACAGCTGCGGCAGCACAACTTTGCAAGTGAAGAGAGGAGGCATTTTTAAATGCTGGATAAATTCAGGTTTCCCAGTTATTTCCCCAAATCCCAATATCATACCAATATTGGGAACATCGGGAAATACCAATATTTCTCAGATCCAATGGACCCAAATATGAAAAAAGCTCATTTTCTTTTTTTTGTGCACACCCCTACCTCTAACCTCCAGGGAATTGCAGTTAAAATCTAATTCTAGTACACAATGCAAGGCCTTGTCTGCTAAACCTATAATATTTATTTAGCACATTTTTTCCCATCCTTCCTTCAAGGAATTCAAAGAAGAATACATCACCCTCTCCTTCTCCATTTTCTCCTCACAGCCGCCTTGTGAGGTAGGTTAGGCTGAAAGAGAGTCATCCAGCAAGCCAACTAGGGATTTGAACTAAGGTCTGACACTTCACCACTATATTACACCACTGGCTCCAGACAATAACTTCCTTAAAATAATGTTGGAAGCTTTCCTGGGATAACCCCTTTCCTTCTTTTGCAGTTCTTCAGGTGAAAGAATTCCTCCCTAAGAAACTGGTGGACATTTGCAAAAGGCTTTCCAGTCTCTCATGAGGTAGCTAAGTTGCACTAGGAAAGAAAATGCTCACTTTCACCCAGCCAAAGATAGTCTTCTATGCTTTCAGCAAAATTCACTGATAGAGCTCACTTCTTTGTGCTGGCTCTTAGCTTTTCTATTACACCTTCAC